CAACAGTGTCACATAGTTGTTCGTCACAATAAAAGTCTTCGAGGTCTTTGTGTGACAGTTCTCAAGTTTCGTTAGTTCTCTTCAGATTCGTGAAGTGGGCGTTTAACCTGTTTCAACACCTATTGAATGAAGGACGAAACTGTCGTCGGGTTTCTGACAATGATGTTTTTTATAGATCAAAAGACGTCGATTCCCTTCATTAAAATATTCCCATCGTAGCTAACATACATCAAAAACGTATAAACAAATATACATTTATTTTGTAGATTTAAAATACAACTAGGATTATACAAAATTACACTTAATCGTTATACACAACGTGTTGTTATTTTTCTGCTACCAGGGAATTGCGTAAGGTGAAAACGTTTAGTTATTTTAAATCTGTTTTAAATGGTTGCCTTCGAGCAAGATGGAAGCAAATGATAATTTTGAAATTTTTTTTATGTAACGCTTAAGTTGACATCATATGGCCTTAATTTAGTCACTGCCCATTCAAAAATAAATGTATATCCTACAAGCAGAGTATCCATCCTTCGTACGGGGTTGGCATATAAGTATAAAATGCTTATTGCAGTTATACTCAAGCTTTGCGTTTGCAATGGGAGAGGACACAGTTTCATAAAATTTGCTTCTTTAAATTCACGGTATATTTATAGTATTACACATCTACCATGGCCATAATGTTCTACCACTTCACCTAAACAAAAGAGAAAAATAAGTTATTAAACACTTTTTAGAATATCACAAATTATTCATGAAGTCAAAAACATTAAGATAACTGTACAAAGTCCTACTTTGACAGTTCTCAATGTGTATCAAAGTTTTTGTTACTGCTTAGTTCAAATTAGCTGTTTTCATAAATGCAGAAAATAATAGTGCTGCACCCTATTGGTAAATCTTATAACTTAAATGCTTTTGTATATGATAGAACCAACATTTTTAGTTGAAACAGCTGACTAAATTCTTTAATTCCCTTTAAATATGAATACTCAAAAGGAACACTCATGGGGAACTAAAGAGCCACTGGGGCGGAGCCCGAAAGGATTTTTGAGATAAGAATATGTCTATATGTTAATCGGGAATGTGAGCTATCATCATGCCAAATTTCAGTCAAATCCGTCCAGTGGTTAATGCGTGATTGAACTTCAAATAAACAGACAAACAATTAAACAAACAAACAAACAAACTTTCACATTTATAATATTAGTAAGATATATTGTAGGCAAACATGTTTCTCAAAAACCTTTTTGTCTCGGCTAGTGTGCATCGCAGGGAAAATCTACGCATACTGCTAGAATGTTTTTTGCCTGTATATGTGCTGTAAATTAAAATTGGCTCAAAAATAAGCACTAAATTATTTAAAAATTAACAAGGGGCTTGATAAGGTTGGCCATCCAGGTGACGAAATATAAACAGAAAATCAAAACAAATGGAAGAAATTCCAATCACATGTTTTATTTACAGCGTAGGGTGAAAATAGTGAAGTTTGCACAATACATATTTTTGGTCGAGTTATCGACCATGGGGCGACCTTTATCAAAAACAGCATAAGATTATCAACGCGGACTTTTTACTGGATTTACCGAAGTAATACACAATGTGATCAAAAGTGAGAGTGCACAAAATAAAACCCGGATTTTGTTTGAGAGCAAACACTTAACTGCTAAAAACACTCCGGAGTAGATTGAAACGATAAATCGTGGGAGTTACTACGCGGAGAGAACAGCTGACTTTCCTCCACTCACATTAGGTCAGCAATAAATATAACAAATACGAACACTACCAGAGTTTCCACTCAAACAAGTCCCTCCCTTCCACACCGATATGACTCTTGCTTTAGTACTGCGTAAAACTGTAGTATTTTCGTGTATTTTATCAAGAGAGAAAGTGTGTGTTGGAATTTTTAGTATTACTGTTGAACGAAATAAATATCTTTTTACATGCATGGATCAATTAAATGAAGTTTGTTACGATGCTCATTGTAGAAAGAGGTCTAAGACAAAACACAAAATATATAAAATAATATGTTGTATGAACAATTACTTAAAAAACATGTAATAGAATATTGGCCGAAATAAACAGTACTGAAATGGTTCATGGATTCATCTTCAGTGGTGAAATGGTTCATGTATTCATCTTCAGTACTGAAATGGTTCATGTATTCATCTTCAGTACTGAAATGGTTCATGGATTCATCTTCAGTAGTGAAATGGTTCATGTATTCATCTTCAGTACTGAAATGGTTCATGTATTCATCTTCAGTACTGAAATGGTTCATGGATTCATCAGTACTGTTTATTTTGGCTAGTATCGGTAGTGTATATGCAATTGAACGCATATAATTAATGTTCTGGTTGGATTAATATAAAAAATATTGTACTCCTCCTGCAAATGTATGCCAAACACAATCATTGATGCGTGATTGGTTTATTGATCAAAGATTTCCATGAGCCTACTGTAAGGTCTGAATCTTTGAAATCGCAAATCGCATTTATTTAAGTGATAAACCCGTTCTCCGTTGGTTTAGGGCACATCTTAAGCCAAGAGTCCACCTATAAACCCTCTACGCGAAGAGAACCATACTGGTGCTCCCCTCTACGTATAGCCTTTGATTTAAATTTAATTGTAACAAATTCACCCCTCGTAAATCGGTAAATCATCTCTGAGAACACAACCGGGACATTAATCTAACCAAATTCGTCTTACCGTGACCAAAACCGCTGCACACCCGACCGTGAAATGGAAGTTGGCAAAATAGCCGATTAAACATAGCAACCCCCGATCCGGCTCGAAGGACCAGAATAAGCAGCTGTAGCCGTAGTCGCGCGGGGACAAAACCCCAGACATCCGTGACGATCAGCATCCGACACGCTGCCGTAATACACGTATAATATATATCAAAGTGTATTGTAAATATTATTCTTGTAGTCACGCCGCAATGCGTGACCGGTACATATGTTTTGAGCCATTGTTCGGCTCATCCTCACAAACCGTTCCTCTCTATTCATTTCGGTTCCAAATCGAACGCGCCTTTCTTATTCTTCTGCGCCCCTCTCGGAATGAGAACGAAATCGAAATGTTATGGTTCGGATTGGATTGGAATACGTTTGTCCCACGTAGAGTGTTCCCAGACGGAAATTAACCCCGATTTGGGTGGGTAAAAAAGAGAATTAGATCGCATACGTGCCGGCCATTGTATCAATAGCGGCGTCTTCTGTAGTTATTGAAACTGTCGGATCGTCTATTGATATCTGGATGCGGAATGTCAGATGTGGTCGCGGTGGCCTGGATTGGGGTGAGCAATATTGTAGAATTGGAGTAGTGATAGACTAACATGTATTTCTACTTGTATCCTAACTAATACTAAAATGCATTGTCATTGAGTTATTGATTGTAAATAGATACCGGTAGTTTATTTTCTTATTAAAATGATTCGTTGTGTGAAGATAGTGTTTTGCCTTTCGCAATCACCATCCTGTTTAACCGTTAATATAAAAAGTGTAACATAGTTCTCCTGGCTGAAAGGTAACTTGCACCCCTACTTAACTTTTCAACCATCGGTTTTAACTTTTGAAATCGGTTTGCGGCAACCTTCTTAGATATAAGGGGCTACAATCATTATGGTCAATTTTGAAAATTTTGCCCTTAGAGGTAGCGGGGGTAGGGGATAGCTCAAAATTTTCAAAGACAAGTATAATCGAGTTTGGTATCATTTTACAGGTCTTGACGAAACATAAACATTGACATAAAGAAAACCAAAATCGGCTCACTAATAACAAGATGGCGCCCTAAAACGATTCAAATCCAAATAACCATGAGGGTGGCAAAAAAATTTACTTGCACCCTCTCTAACTTTTTAACTATTTCAGATATTTGAAATCGGTTTGCGGCAACTTGTTTGGATTTGGAGGACTACAATAATTATGGTCAGTTTTGAAAATTTTTTATATTTGTTTTCCTTAGAAATCAGCTTAGATACTGGATCAGTTAAAGACACTCACGGGTTTTATGATAGGACTAGAGGTATATTTTTACTACCCATGGACGATAGTTCTATACAACGAAACCAAAACACATTTAAAAGGGGATCTGAACACTTAAAAACTTAAAAAATATCAAATTTTTGTTTTTTGTCTTATTTTATTCTTTAGTTTTTTCTGAACACGACGATGTATAATATATAGTATTACAGGGACTATAAATAATAAAAATATTTAATTTAAAATTTGGTGTACGGTGCTGCAGGGCTAAACTTGGGCCACTCTTAGTTGGTTTTGTTATAGTGCTCTTTGGAATATTCACCCGCTATATTCAAGTGGCTGTGGTTACCCAAATAAGTTCTTGGTGCATTTGACAGCAGACAACAAACTTCTTCTTCTTCATTAGGCTTCCACATATGTTCTGTTTGTTGTGTAAACATAACCCTGTTTCAACTTCAAGTAGTTTTGTCTTAGTTAGTTTGTGTTTGATTTATTAGTGGATTGTGTAGCAAAATGACTAAACCAAAGGGTGTTTTCAAGAAGCGTACATTCAAAGGGAACCGATATAAAACCAAAGTAATACCTATAGAGCAGGTACAGGAAACACAACCTGGACCTTCAGGCACATCTAGTCCTAGGCCTAGCACTCCGAAATCAACCTCCTCTTCAGTAAGTTCTTCTAGAAAGAAGTTATCTTCAAGTGATACAAAATATAGTGACTTCCAAGGTGATTCTGGCAATGTAATTGTTTCCTTGGAAACACTCATTTCAATGTTTGATGAGGTTTTTTGTAAATGTGGTGCTTCAGTCAGTGTATCGGAAGTTATTTCATCGAGGAATGGTTTAGTAAGTAAGCTGTGCCTAACATGTAATGAATGTGACTTTGGAAATAGTTTTTGGACCTCTCCAGAATGTAAGCCTAGGCCTAATAATATTGGTAAAAATCTGAAGTTGTTTGAGGTTAATGTTAGATTTTTTTACGGGCTCAGGTGCATTGGCAAAGGCCTTGAAGCCGGAAAAATGCTTTGCGCCATGTTGAATCTTCCCCCTCCCAACTTGGCTAGAGCAAAACACACTAAAGTAGTATCAGCATGTTTAGAATTAGTGGCTGAAGAATCAATGCAAAGAGCTACCAAGGAGGCTGTGCAACAAAATGATGGTGACTCAGATATTAGCGTAGCATTCGATGGGACGTGGCAGAGACGCGGTTTCAAGTCAAAGAATGGGGTTGCCACTATCACCAGCATTGACACTGGTAAAGTCCTTGATTTTGAAACTTTGACCAAATTTTGTAGTGGCTGTTCTAAAGCTAAGACCCCGGAACAAAAACAAAAGCATGCACCACAATGTGTCAAAAATTATGAAGGATATAGCGGAGGGATGGAGACGCAGGCTGCAGTAACGCTCTTCAATCGCTCGGAATTAAAACGGAATGTTCGCTATGTCAATATGTTAGGGGATGGAGACTCTAAGGCCTACTCCTGTGTAAAAGAGAGTAAGCCTTATGATGATGTAGATGTATCAAAGCTGGAGTGTGTAGGCCATGTCGAGAAGCGGATGGGTACGCGCCTCCGAAATCTGAAAAAGACAATGGGTGGAAAAGAACTTGCGGATGGTAAGTCTCTAAAAGGGCGAGGGAGACTGACTGATAAAGTCATTGATGAGCTTCAGTCATATTATGGCAATGCAATTAGAGGAAATACAGACAGCCTAGACAAAATGTATAAGGCAGTATGGGCTACCTTTTATCATCGCCTCTCCACCGATGAAAACCCATGTCACTCATACTGCCCACCACCACCTGACACATGGTGTAAATATAGAAAAAACCCAGAAGGGTATGAACACAAAAATCCAATACCTGAACCTGTTATGCAAGCAATAAAATCCATCTATGTAGACCTAAGCAACAAAAACTTACTGAAAAAATGTCTTCATGGGCGTACTCAGAATGTGAACGAGTCGTTCAATAACGTAGTTTGGTGCCGAGTGCCCAAAAATAATTTTGTCGGGAAGCAGACTCTGCAGTTGGGTGTTCAGGATGCTGTAATATCCTTTAATGATGGGAATGTAGGTAGGCTGAGGGTTTTGGAAGAAATTGGTGTCCAAAATTTGGGCAAAAATACCATTTCAGTTCTACAGAAGTTTGATGCGGACCGAATTCGAAAAGCGGACAGGGCTGCGGAACTAATGACCAAGGAGGCAAGAATAAAGAGAAGGAGACAACTGCTAGAAGAAGAAGAGGGCCATGGAGATGACTACTGCCCAGGAGGTTTTTAAGCCATGTGAGTTAACCATTTATTGTGTTTTACCTGGAAAATCACCATAGCAACGGTTTTCTGTGTTTTTCCGAAAATCTATTTTTCCCCTACAAAAGACCCGTTTTCTCAGGAATGGCTGATGCCAGTGACCTGAAATTTTTAACCATGGTAAAATAACTAGTAAGGCATTTGCTGAACTAGAATTATAGCAATTTGACTGTTCCTTTTTATATTATTAAATAATATATGAGTAAAAACGTGGATATTTTTTATATATATTTAAAAAAATTATAATTTTTTTATTTTTAGGGATTGAAGATTAATCCTAGTTCAGTGTACTCTTCTAATGTCAATAAAAAACATATAAAAATTGGAGTTATGTATCATGAGTAGTTTCAGAGATAAAGGGTCATTAATATTGAAAAATTAACATAGGCTCTTATGGGCCGTTCAGCTCCCCTTTTAAACGTATTGAAGAAGTTAGTCCTAATAATAGGAAATATAACTTTTCAACCACTATCTTCAGCATTACAATATCCACAGAACAAATCAAAAGCGTTCATGATCAGGACTAATTGAATAAAGTATTTATCTTCAAAAATACTATCACTATTTGAATAAAACCCATACAATATACATGTACTGTACTTGAGCTCAAATTGAATAAAAACTGTTAAATATTGAAAGCCCACTTATAAACTAGTACATACAATACTTGCTGATAAACCTAAAATAAGAATGTTAGTATGTTTTAATGTTATTTTCATTTTGGCTTTAAATCGTATGTAGCCTATGTTCAACGTTTTAGATCATTACGATGGATGCGTAAAAGGAAGAAATGTCTTTTTGTAGTTTTGTCTTACAAAATGTTCATAGTCCTTATCTTCACATCCATGGACGCTAGATTATAACACAAAAACATTAACCAAAAAATGTACTTACTTCCTAGTAGGTTACGACATATTCAAATACTATAACTTAAAAGCCCATGGTGATTGTTGAGATTTGAACCCAGGACCTCTAGGACCAAAGGCAACTAGAGCTCCCTGAACACTGTAGCGCTGAAGACAGAGTTTATCAATCCATTACCTGCTAGAGCTTTGGTAACCCAACTACGATCAAACAAATTACTGTACATACATTTCATACATACCGCAAACAGTTCGTTACAACGATGCGGCCTGAGCCTTGCCTCGGGCCTTCGCCCATTCCAGCCATAATTGCTGAACAAGATATTAAATGTAAACGACCAATATGTCAGCCCGGTAATTAATGCCCATTGTCTGGGCTTATTAATTTATCAAGCCGGCCTAAGTTGAAAACAGTTAAAAAACGTAATTCCCCGACCATCAATCTTAGGCGTCATTAGTGCTATAAAACTTTACTTTGGTCATTAAATGTGTGTAATGTTCTGAGGTTGCTGATTACTCGGTATTGCGGTGGATGTGGTTATTTAGCTCGGGTTGGAGTTTATTGGCTACATAGGTTAGGTTGGTTAGGTTAGGTTAGGTTAAGCTAGGTTAGGTTAGGTTGGTTAGGTTAGGTTAGTTTAGGTTAGGCTAGGTTAGGTTAGGTTAGGCTAGGTTATGTTAAGCTTCCTAGCCTAACCTAGTTATTGGTTTTAGCGAATTTCCCATTTAGGGAATAGCTATTACTGTAGGTCTAATGGACCTTGACCCGGGACCACTTTACTTTTTCATTTGCGTCTCTCAGAGTCAACAACAGAATCATCATGTGTCACGATAGTTTGAGTAAAAGTGATTCATACGTTCGAACGAATTTGTGAATAAGCGTGATCGAACTATGGGAATTGGGTTTTATGGAGGGTTTTACAGGTCAGAATGAAATATCCCATTTCATCCTGTTTGTAGAGCTAAATAAACTAGTAAGTTAGTGTATGAAGTCGTTTTACGTCTATTGAATCTTACGGAGAGTAAGAGTAAACTGTTGTAGTTTACTTGTTTATAGATATATTTTGATAAAATTTGGAAAATTAATTGATTTCATACTAGACTATTAACTTTTAACCAAAAAATTCACTACGCTTTATTGCGTTCCTTGTAGCAGCAAACCTAAGTGCTCATGGAATATTTTAGTAGAAATCCAACCAGGAAAATGTACTTAGTCTGCAGGTTTGCTGGGGCGGGAGTAGTTTTGTTATATCGTTTACATTATGGATACTGTAGTAGGAATTTAATTTACATAAACCAGCTGTTGCAATTTTTTACCCAAAAAGAGAACATAATTGAACTAGCCTTTTCAAAAAAATTAAATTTGTTGTAAAATAATGTTTTAAACACGTATTTTTACTTCATATCCTAGGACGTTAGGTTCTAGCCCGGAACTTATTTGCACATTACTTCAGGCTATCTCTAGAGGATTGTGGCATTCACATGGATAAAATTCACTGGTGATTGGTGGGAATTGAACCTGGGACCTCACGCTTCGAAGCCCGTGCTGTACCCCTAGACCAACCCGCTTCCAAATCTTTAAACACTACCTAAATAGGTTATAGTTTCCAATTAATTGCTATTCAGTTTGGACTGCTTACAAAAGTTAAAAATTTGTGTGACATCAGCAAACACTCAAGGCTTAACTCAATTATCTTTTTCCTCCAAAACTAGCCACAACTTTAACATTGACGGGAGATGGAATGTCATTTAAGAATCCCTTTTAAAAGGTTCTAATCGTTAACTATTTGCATTGAATTGTGCATGTATTTATTAATTCTGCATCTGTATACACTGTTTTGAATGATACTAGTATGGTTTGATTCACATTTTTTTAAGTGGATTAATATGTAAAAATGCAACTAACATTGTAATTTTTTCAACCATAAATATTTATAAATGTGTATACTATGATAATCATTGTTGAAAACTATTATTTTCTTATTCCAAAAAGAAAAAATTCAGCGAAAGCAGTGTTACACATTTTTAACAAAATATGCTTTACCTATGTCAATGCAGCTCAAATAATAGTGTAACTACGTTACGGCCGTTTCGGCATTGCAATGCCATCGTCATACTACGAAATCTCGGCTGACGTAGCGTCGTTGAAGTTAAAACACATACACACACGAACAATACAAATAACATTACATTTTACAAAATCGATCAGGCCTGTCGTACTAACTGCAACGGTTGACATGTTTACGTTCCGAGCAAAACGCCGACAGCTCAGGGGCTAAAACATGGATTTTAACACATTTTTGACTAGTGATTAAATTTTTATACTAAGATCTCTACTCAGGATCATTTACACTAGTATGTCCAAGATACAAATGTGACAAAAAATAAATGCCGTTCAGTAGCAAGACTAAACTAATCGCCACGTTCGGCCACTTCCGCTTGTAAATAGCCACTTGAATGACCCCAACGATAAACTCGCATGTAATTGTAATTTCGATCGGCGAAAATCGGCAACCACAATCCGACTCAAACACAAAAAACGTTCGATCACGCAGCGATCCCGATCAGAGTTGACATTCTTGCATTAATAAGAAAGTAAATTAAAGTGATAGACGACAGATAGTGAAATAAATCAAACCTTAACCACTTCGATACCATCTTGAGTTATACCTTACATTAACAAAAGGCGAGCTTATTTAGGTGCCAAATTGCTAATGCATATTTATACGAGTAATGGCATTTATTTGTTATACGAGATTACATCGCGAATGAAAATTAGACAGCGGGAAATTATCGTAGGCTTCTTGAGATTCTGGTGTCACTGTTGTTTATCATCATGAATATGAATCCCCGAAATCAACGGGGAGAAAAATTAAACGTGAAATAGATATTGAAATTAATTTTCCTAATGAACACCCACCAGATTTCATTGTTTGGCGCCAAAAGTAGTTTTCTGCTAGAGCAAGTGTGAGTTAAAGCCCGGTAATTGTTTGGTGGGTGTTCCCCAGCAATAAACATCGCAACAATGCTGAATGTAAGAAAATATGAGCTTCGTAAATATACAAGACTAATTTGGGAACTCCGAAACCACTTTTAATTGGATAGAAATGGATTTGAGATTGTTTTGGGAGAGAGGAAGAATTGTTAAATAGTCTTGCGCCTAGTAACCACAAAAATTTGTATTTAATCGGTAAGATTTGTTTACCCAATTATCCTGTTTTTAATTTTTTTAACTTTATACAATATCAATTTATAAAAATCTTTACTACTGATGTTAGTATATTAATGCATTTAGTATTGGGGTTTATGTTTCTACGCCTATTGGTTCCGAGGTATACAGGAGCTTAAATTGACAAATAGGTATTGTCTGTTTATATATGTATGTTATGTTATTTTCACGCTTTTAAGTATTCTAGCAGCAAATTGGAGACTATATAACCATAAATGGATTAGTCATTGGATTAAGTGTAATTTTTCATGCTTAAAAGCCTGTTTGAGTTAGATCAAAGACTTTTGAGGCAATTGCGTTATATTGTTTTTATTATTTCAAGTTAAAAGTATAGTTTTAAAATTTAACTAGAGAACCCATGCTGCTCCACAACGTTAAAATAATTATTATTTCCGAAAAATAATAAAACTTATGATTTTTTATTGAGTAATACAATCTTGAACTTAACTGATTCAAACTATCAATAACTCAAATTAAAGCCTAATTTACTGATTATTTTGAGTTAAAACATATACAAAACATAAACAATACTGGAGCTTTTGATTTTTAATCATAGAAAACCCTTATAAAAAAAATATTTTTTTTATTGCTCACCTTGCGTTTGCTTAAAACTCGTCCGATTTGAATAACTAATAGAAATGAAAGCCAGCATTTTACTGAAGGTTCTTAGACCACAGTACAGGATTTTATAATTATAACTGTTGAAATACATCTTAAATTTAACTAAGCATTTGAAAATAAATCAAATTTATGTTTTTTGGTCCAGTAATACAGTAGATAAATATATGCCGATGCTTGATGTGAAATCTCTGCGTGCCTAAAATTTGGTACCTAGATCATGAAAATCGATCGGGTAGAAGAGCCAAACGAACTCGGAAA